CCATATATACTAATATAGATATAGAGGTTCGAAGATAATGGTTGGTTTGAGAGTGTAAATCTGTTTGCCATTTTGTATATAAAGTGTATCAAGCAAATTTGGATGCAATTTTATGTATTAAGAGATCATAATAGATTCTCCAGAAAAGAGAAGATATTGTTTTCTCTTGATCAATACCATTTTTGATCTGGTATGTATTAGTAAGGCCTAAGTTTGAGATAAATCTATTATGTCATTTGGTAAGCAGATTAGTAAGTATATCGATAAGTTGTAAAAGCATGTTTAAGCATAGAAGAGATTTTTGGAAAAGGTTAGGATTGACAAAATTATAAGCTTTGCTCATATCCTAAGATATGAGCCAAAGCTCTTTGAAGTTACAAGTAGCATCTTCTATAATATTGTTAAAGATATGTATAGAAATAGAAGTGCTATTGCCTAGTAGTGCAATATAATTATAGGGAGAAAGAATTAGATGCTTGGTAAATATGTGGTTGAGATGATTAGTTAAAAGCTTAGTATAAAGTTTTTGATATGTTCAAGTAAGCTTATTGGTTTGGTGTTAGTAAGGTTGCCATCAAAGATAGGTTTCTTTGAGATTGAAAAAATTCTACCTTCCTTCCATTGTTTAGGTATTGTATGAGATGTAATACATCTGTTGAACAAAGATATAATTGCTTGCAAAAAGAGTAAGCCTGCATATTTAAGCATTTCATAGCTAATATCTAAAGGACCACAGGCTTTGTTGTTAAATAGTTGTGCAAGAGTAGATACCTCCTCAATAGAGAACTCAAGAAGTGCACTCTGATACCAATCTGAGTTGATATGACCTTGAGGTTCATATTCATTATACCATGTAAAGTTAAAGATAGTATCATTTACATTTTGGGGGCCAGTCTACTGGTCAAAATGTTGTTGTATATGAGTTTTGATATTTTGAATATTAGTAATTATATCATTCTATATTATAATGTTATCAAATTTTACAAGGTCTTTGTGTCGATTAAGTATACTGTTAATCATAGATTTGGGGTTGGTGTAGAGCTTATTGCATCTTTTGTTAATTTTATCATTGATCTGTTGTCTTATTTCTTTAATATTTTCAATATTATGTGCATGATAAAAGGCTTTTTATGCATCATTGCTGTTAGTGATCCAGCTTGGCAAAAAAATCATAACTGGTTGATATAGTTGGAATATCAAGGTTGTGAGTTGAATTAATAGAGTTGCTTATAGCATTGTGGTAGTAAGTATAGGAGTTTTGTTTCTAATTGATTATTTGACTTGGCAAATAATATTACTTAGTTTTTTGAAATAAAAGTGTAGTTAAGATGCTTTAGAGGAGTAGATGTGTTGAAAGTTGCGTACTGTAAATTGTTTGTTAGGTATATGTTGGAGAGCTGCAGAGATTATACTAGTTTGTATTTTATGCAAGGTACATTTAAGTGATTCAGAGGTGTTAATTGTTAGTAGTATATTGTTTGATCTGAGCTTAAAGAAAATTTAGTCGGCATATAATTGTCATTATTCTGTACTCATATTTTTGTAAAGAAATACTCTCCTATGTGTTCTGTTAGAAGTACATCATTTATCTGTGAGTGTATATGAAAAAACCCGGTCACTTCTAGTACTAGTATTAGAATCGTTAGTATAGTATAAATTTAAGTAATATAAGATTGAATAGTTAGACTATATATAATCAATGCAACTAGAGTATCTATTATTGTTTCATGTGTGAGTTTATGATTGAGTATATACTGCTAGCCATATATATTGTTTTATCTGATATTTACTATTTGATAAATTTTGTAATTATAAACTGTTACTAGTTTTTGGATTTATACCATTTTATGATATTTACAATTTACTATATAAATAAATAAAATACATTATATATAGCTAAAATGTAATTATATAAAAAATTTAACGATATTGAAAATTTTTTAAAATTGCTTGTATTGAGCAAAGGCCTTAATTAGGCTTAAATATTTATTATTTTAATTACAATTAATTATATGCATCAATTTCTAATTATTATTAAATATACAATTGTTATAATATTTTTAACAATTGTTATAGTTTATGACTATGTTATTGCTTGTTTTCATTACTAGTAAAATTGGATCTATATTTTTGTGACTTATTATTTGTATTTTTTAAAAGTTTATTTGCCATATAAAAATTTTCATGAAATTCATGTTTATTTGGTATCTATTTTTTTTTAATTTAGCAAAAATAAATTATTTTTTGATTAAAAATTTATCAAAGCCTAACAAGCTTAAAATATTACCTGCACAGATGTATCATTATCATCTTCAAATATATTATTTTGTAAGTCTTCATAATTATCAGCTTCAGAATCAGAATCATTAATCAAATCTTGAAATGCTTTAGTAGATGATGGAAATAGAATAGTAATTATTTTATTAAGGACATTTGCTAATGTTTCTCTTTTATAATTATCTGTAGGTTTTGCATAAGCGTAATATCCACCAGAAGATTTGTGACCACTAATTGCATGACTAGTATTTTCAGGTACTCTAATACTAAATAATTTTATAAAACTAATCCTTCTACCTGAGTGATTGCTGATATTTTTCTTTTCTATATTTATTCTACATTCAACACAGATCAATTTAAAAAATAAACAGATTGTATGATCAGCTAATGATTTATCCAAATACCAATTTCCTTTAACAATACCTTTATTAATAATTTCAGTCAGAGATTTTACCAAAAATAGACAGTGTTGATCGCATCTTTTATTGTATAGAAATATCAATCAGATGATTCTTGACATTTCGGTTTTATGAAAATCACATGTTACTAGTCAATTAAATAATAGCATTAAAATAAAAAAACAAAGTAATGTATAGCTCAAAATTTATTAATAAAAAAGTTGTAAAATTTTTACCAAAATCTAGGATTACATATAAATTTGCACTACAAACAACTTTATTTAATGAATTTAATAGGTTTATTTATTATAGAAATCCTGTCACAGGTATTTCTTACAAATATCAAATACAAAGATATTTTGTCAACAAGTAATTAGAATTAGATAATTTTTATACCATTCGATTCATCTTGATGAGACGAATCGAATAGTATAAGAATTGTTCGATTTTGATTGATCAAACATAAGATATTAACGATGTCACAACCCTATTACTTTATCTATACTCTTCAATAATATTTGATTAAATTAAATAGAATTATATCTATTATACAATTGTTAAATGCATCTAAATCTCATTGCCACAACTTTATATCTAGAAAAAAAAAACTTAAAATATTAAAAATAAATAAATTAAATTAAAAGCAAAAAAAAACTAAAACTTAATTAGCTTAATTGCGACTTTATATTCTAAGTTGATTAAGCCAATTTTAATGTATATAGAAAGTTTGCAAATACAAATCAGAAATGCTTTTTTGTTATGCAAAATATATTTTCAACCAGGTTTTACATCTTGAAGGTGATGGTTAATTGCTAACAAAGCATTCTTTAATGAAGTTCTTAAATAATTTCCACCTTTTTGGGGTATTACACCATATAAAAATTGGGATACTTGAAGTTCTATCATTTCTTTGCTAAGACTTTCAAGTAGTTCATTATAATTAACATCAGACCGCTATTGATTCATAACTTTAATTTATCGTTTAGTATTTTTGACTGTATTTTCTGAGATATGTCCCTTAGCAAGTGCTGAAAGGTAGTTAGTAGAAGATAAAAAATTAGATCGTTCATCCATATTTGAGTTAGAGTTAAAAAAGATCATAAAAAAAATAAATCACTGCTTATATTTATTATTTTTTTATAACTGATAAATTTTGTGATCTGTTAAAATTTTTACATATAATTAATTAATTAATATAGCGATAAGTATTACTTGATGCTGTATAAAACAGTTATGAGGCACTTAATTCACATTTTTATAGGTATTTCGAAGCTGGCATGGTGCTATCATGCCATGCCAGCTTTGAAATACCTGTAAAAATCTGAATTGTACCTTACTAGTATTTGCGAATGTAATCTGCTTGTTCAAATTTTTGCACCTTTGATGCTTAAAATTGACTAATTAAATCACATTCTGCAAATACTACAGTTATTCGGTACTTTGTGTTTCATAACTATTAAATATTGGAAATATTGAAGTAACTTATATTTGATAGATGTAGATTGTAGGTTATCACCAGTAGCATTGAAGTCTCTCATAATTATAGGCTGTAAATTGTTGGATACTGCTGACTGTAACCATTAGATAACTGTGTTTTGAACTTCGAGTCTTAGTTGTGAATTGTTATAAGGTAAATAAACTGAGATGATTCTGAATTTGAAGTCATGCTTAAAAAGAATATCAATTGCAACTACATAGCCAGGAAAGGTAAAGATTTTATGCACATGTAGTTTTAGGTAGTTTCTTAACATTAGTGCTGTATCTGCTTTAGAGCTATCTGTGCAAAACTAGTAGTAGATAAAATTTTTTAATTTTTGAAGTTTGATGCAAGCATTTTCCTATAGAATCTTAGTTTCAGTTATACTTATAATGTGCAAGTTGTTAGTGAGACAATAATTTTTCTAGACTTGTTGCTTAAGATCTGTGTTATAACTATGGACATGTGTGTGCAGATAGACAGGTTAAGAAGTTTATTTTGATTGTTATTTGGGTGTTCTGAAGTAGATGAAGTGGAGGAAATAGGTGGTATAGTTGGTAAGTTTGGTTTAGATCTTAATAGAATATTATCTGAGTCATATATTATAGAGAAAATATGGTAGTTTGGTAGTATATTAAAATCATTAGGTAAGTATACATGAGCTTCAGTTCTGTCACTATTAACTGTAATAAGAAGGTAGTATACAGGTGTTTAGCATTGTTTTGTGTTAAGTGTTGTCTAAATGAATGAATAGTTTGCGGTTTTCTCAATAAAGTTAATTGATAGTGGTTAAGATATTTATTGTAGCATATATCTAAATTATAGGGTTCTAGTGATGTTGATGATGATTTGGATAAGGTTTCTTCTGTAGAGGTGCTCACCGTTTTACGCTCAGCTCTCACTGCTGTGAAGGGTTCTATAGTCTGCCATGTATGTTTGGTCTGACCATCATTATACTGGTCCTCCATGTATAGAGGCTTTAATGCCCACCTCCATATCTCATTCCACTTACTAACTACAATGAATATATCTTTTAGTAAGGTGGCGAATGCATTAATGTCTTATAGAAGATCTTAATTGTTTATAGTGTTTGTTTGTGTTTGTGTATATATGCTTGTATTTGTAATTGTGTATACCAGTATGCAGTCCTACTCTGCATCTAGAAATAACCCTTATATAGTCTTATTGTGGATTTGCTTCAATTGTACAGCTTGCATTTCTTCATAGACCCAACTACCAACCTTTCCAAATGTATGTCATACTCGAGATTTGCAAGTGGTCCTTCCTAATTAATACCCTAGCTCATAGTATATGAGATCTAGTTATAGTATCTTATACTAGCATACCCAATTAAGTTGACATATCTGTTAATATTCAGATTAAGTATTCAATAATTGTCACTGGTAGGAATTGAACCCTAGATCTGCCACTTAGGGGGTAACAACTTGATCACTTCACTAAGTCGCCATGCCCTTATTATTATCAATTTTCATTATAACAGCTATATATTAATTAATATTACAATTTATAGAACCCAATAGAAAGAATTATTATTGATATACATTTATATAAATTTTTTTTTCCTTCAGCAATCCTTTTACTTTATTTTGGAAACAGACTTTCATCCTTACTCGGCATAAGAAATCTAAATTTATAAGTATTCCTACCAAAGTTAAACTTATCCACGGCATACCTCACAGATGCTATAACATCTACTTGCAGTCAGAGTAAACTATTAAACTGCTGTATTTTTCCCATATATAACTTGCCAAGCAACACTTGGCCTCCTCCAAAAATCTGGAACTCACTCCAGACTTATTTCTTCTAGATTCCTTGGCTGGCTGTTGTCCGCCCTGTTAAGATTCCTGCCCTACAATAGAATGCTGCCAAACTGATAACACTTCTTATAGGGAAGGAAAAAAGAAAAAAAAGAGATAATGGAAAATGAAAAAAGGTATAAAAAATAAAAACTTATACATTAATGAAAATGGATACTAATACTAAGGAATATAAAAAAAAATAAACTAAAACTATCACTAAAAAAAAGAAACCTGCTAAGCAGGCAAAAACTTCTAATTATACAGAGTCACGATTTACTATTAAGTGTAAGAGTTTTGACAAGAAATTTAAAACTAAATAAAATGCATTATAACTCGTGCTAGAGGCTAAAAATTATATATAGGTGACTAGAGAATACCTGTATATCTCTTTTCACTTTGCTTTACTCTTTCAATTAAATCTATATCTTCATCTAAAAGTATAGAATTTTGGAATCTTCACATGCTCTATCTAATGATCACGTCCTCAACAACACGACATATAAGGTATTCTTCTGAACACTCATCCAGTTACTAAATTCGCTGGTACTGTCTATTTCATACATGTTGTTTATTATCATACAGAGTTTTTTGATATAGAAGTGATAAACATTACTGATCTTTTGGAGAGAGTATGCTGAATTCTTCACTTTTTGTTAAAAATTATAGCAAAAGTATTGAAGAGAAAAAATATAGTATTTGAAAGAGCTTAAGACAATGGAAGTGTTTTCAGTTGTTCTTTGTAAAACTAAAAAGCTTTAGACACTTGAATCAGAAGTTTTTCACCACTACTGTTACCAAAATAACCCTTTTGGCTTGGATGCTGAATGTGCGAGGGAGTCACTAAGAAGTAAAGCTTGACTCAGAGCACAAACCAACTATATACATCCCGCTCCTCAGTGTTTTGCATATAAGTTTTTGTCAACAACAGTACTAATAAGAAACCTCAGATATCTTTGAATATTTAGAGCTTTGAATCTTCAAATTGTTTTGGTGCAGTCTTGGTTCAAGTGATTGTTGTATATTTACGTAAATATATATCAACCTAAATATAGTAAATTATTAATTAAAATTTTGGCTAAATTACTATTTATAAATTTCTTTGAAATAAGAATTTAAAATAGTTTTTGATATAGTTTAGTAGTTTTAAAGAGTTTCACATTCAGAGCTGCTAAGTTTTTATTTTATTAGTTGTATTACTATTTAGATTTGCTTTTGAATCTGTCAAAGAAGTACTTAGTTGACTTCTTGCTTTTTTAGCTCACCTTGTTTTTGATCAAATTTGCCAATTATATGCCTGAAGGTTTGCATTTAAGCAGTCTGTTATATCTGTTAACAATAGGTTTTTAATTAGTTTATTATTAAGTTTAGTAATTGTTTGTTTAATTTTTTAATTTGAACTCAGATTTTATGAGTCTATAGGCTTGAAGAATTGATTTTATTTAAAGCTTGTAGTAGTTTTATTTTATAAAATTTATTTCTTCTTTGATTTACTTTTTAATTTTTAGATACTTTTTTGGTAATAAGTTACAAATTAACTATTTTTGCTTAATGTGTTTGAGAAATCAGTTAAAAGTTATTTCAAAAGCTTTTTTAATGAGAACTACTACTAAAAAGTTTAGTTTGTCTTCTGAGTTAGATGGTGCAAACATATTAGTGATTTGAAATAAGTAGTAGTTGAAAAAAATCTGATAAAATTACTCTCTTATTCAAAGATTCTTGTATATTGCTAAATCTTATTCAAAGATTCTTATATATTGCTAAATTTTATCTTATTATTCCTAGCTAAAATGGCTGCTTTAGATGTTCAATAGGAGTTATAATGCCAAAGTGCTTGAGACAATCTTATATTTCTTCTTTATTAGTGTTAGTTTTTTGAATAATAATTATGTTAAATTTATAGCTTTTAGTAGGATAAAAGTTTTTTAACTTTGAATCCTATTGTTATGATCTTTAATATTAAAGACACCAATTTTATTATAGATTTTATACTCATATTTAGATTAGTATTTGGGGTTGTTGCTTTCTTTTGATAGGAACTTGTTTTGTTCAGAACTTCTGTTATTAACTTATTTTTCTTTCTTTTTTTATATGTAACTGCAATGAAACCTGCTAAGTTTTGTAAGTAGTACTATCTGTTAATAAAATTTTGGATTAGTCTGAATTTATAAACTCATTAAATCTAGTTCATCTAATGAGCCTGATAATTTGTTTTTTTAATGATTTGTCTATGTTGTTATTAATTTCTTGAACTTAAAACCAACCTAGATTTATCCTAATAATTAGTCAAGCCAAGTTGATTTTCTGTATAATATAATATGAGATGACTTGTAAAAGGGGTTGGAACTAAGAAAAAATACAATAATATTAGATAAAAATTAATATTGGTTAACTTGATATATATTGACCTATATAGATTTTGAAAAATATAGGTAGATTGTTTATATTATGTGGATTGTTTCCTATAATTTAATATTGGAGGAGAATGTTAAACAGAAAATCAAATTGGTCTGGCCTTAATAAGATAAGGGCTTTATAGTTTGAAAATCAAAATCTCGAAACTTAATTATCGCATTGTGTGATGACGGGGTTTTCAATATTTAAACTCGGCC